TGAGCTGTAATCAATAAGCGCTTGTTCTCGTATCGATCGACCAAGATTCTCCATGCGATGCCGAAGGAATCTTCAGAGACGGGCAAATTAGAGATGAGCTTCAACGGCTCATTGGAGAGACAGAGACGGAGGTAGTGCATTCGCTCAACCCCAGGAATCTCCAGATTATTCCCGACCAACGAATGGAAAAGTTCTCTCCATGGCCTCCACTCCTTATACACTCCAGAGAACTTCGGCAACTCAATCTCCGGAAGAGCTCTGCGCGTTGAACTCTGTAGTTGCGCGTCGCCAGGAACTCGAACCGATTGGTTGAGGTTAGGAGCCCCCTTCTTCTCCAACAGCTGCAGCAGCGCTACTCTACCTGAAGCGTAATGCTTAAGCGCGACATCGAAGACCTGATTCTTAAAATAATCGAGAGAGGTCAAATTCTCGATCTTCTGGCCGACGAGTTTCTCATGGGACGCTTCCAGCTTCGCCCAATACGTTTCCAGCATGATGAGCTTGGAATCCAGAGCCGTCACGCCGAACTGCTGGATGCTCTCCTCCTGTGANATGACTCCGTGTAAATGCCTTCAATAAAGGATGCACGTGTCATCTGCAGCGAGATCAGCGCTTCGAGAGTTGCCATCTTGTGGAATTGTCAACAAAAAAAGAAAGAAAACCAACAAGAAAAACCACAACCTCGATCGACTGCTGCGAAAAACTAAAAAAAAACACTAAGCGAACGTGCTAGGAGAGATATTTAAAAATAAACAAAGAGCCAAGGACGCAGGTCAAAAAGCAAGAAAAAGCAATATGCGAAAAACAAAGCGTAGCCCAAAATTCCAGCGCAGATCCAAAAGGCGTTAAATCGAGAAAAATAAATAAATCACCTACAGCCGAACTTGAGGAAAAATCAGCAAAACCCCAGAGAAGCGCAAAAAATTGTAATTAATTTGACTTCCCTTTTTGAGCGAGCTGCACGATAATCCACCTCCTTCAGCGCAGGTCCGTAATACCCTGAGGTAGGTCGTTAGGGCTTTCCGATGGTCCAAGATACCCAAAGGTAGTCAATAATTCCTGGAGTAGGCCTGGAGTCACGCTGATACGGTCCTGATGAGCGAAAATTCTGAAACGGTCCTTCAGTACTGGAGATACGGCCCTGAAGACGGAGTACCCAGGGGTGGAGCAATGAACGGGATCGACACGTCCCTGGCAAGTAGGACCACTGGTGCGGGGCCCTCCGATCAGGTGTTACGGCACTGCACTGGCGTCCCCGTACTCCCGCGANTACCTCCTTCTTGAGCGCAGGTCCGTAATACCCTGAGGTAGGTCGTTAGGGCTTTCCGATGGTCCAAGATACCCAAAGTTGGTCAATAATTCCTGGAGTAGGCCCGGAGCGACGCTGACACGGTCCTGATGGGCGGAAATTCTGTAACGGGCCTTCAGTGCTGGAGACACGGCCCTGAAGACGGAGTACCCAGGGGTGGGGCGATGAACGGGATCGACACGTCCCTGGAAAACCGAACACGCCGACGGGAGTGAAATGAATTTATTGAATTTCAAGTAACCGATTTTATTTAAAGAGGCCTGATATGTGACCTTTCGTAATTCCCTTCGTTATCATCGTTAGGTATCCGGGAATAACTACTAGGACCAATTATCAGGGTTAATTGACCTGGAGGATTACGGGGATGCCTGGATCGAACGGTCACTGAACATTGTAACAGCTCGCCCAGTCAGCCGTGCGATCTTCTGAGCCGAATGAATTAAAATCTTAAGAAAAATGGAATATCAACCGCGATCTCCTGGGGTAGACAGACCGTCCCCTAAGGGTCAGTTAGTCCACCTTGGGAATCGCGGGGCTGATTGACAACCTGGAAACACGGGGTTGCTCCACCGAGTTAGTGTAGGGTCATCCCTAAACCAGCTCAGTAAGTCATCCGCAGTATCGTGGTCGACGTGGATCAACCGCTAATTAGCAAATGACTCGCCTCCTCGAAAGAGTCAGCAAGCCAGTCGCAAATTTACGGGGCTGATGAGGGATTCACTAGGGTAAATTATTCTGCACGGCACAAATTTATATAAAGTTGAATTTATTCAAAACTATTTGAATTCGCGTGAAAGAAACGGTCAGTTCAAACCCGTCGGGACTCACGCGGTTTTTCTCGATTTAAAATTTGAATTTTATTCCGTTTCGGAGTGACAGGCTACGAATTTATTTCGGTTCTTATTGAAAATTTCACTGATGTACTTTGGAGAATTTCATAAAAAATATTTTAAGTCCAGGAGGGCAGAAGACGAAAATTTTCTAAGTCCGAAGGGGACCGAGCGTGAAAAAAACAAAGTCCAAGAGGACAGAACACGAAATTTTTCTAAGTTCGAACTGGTTACTTTTAATTTACTTCTCGGGAGCTCTTTGGAGCTTATGACCGGCGGTTTTAAGAGTCGACGTTGAACTGACTGTTT